CGGGAAGTGAGTAAGGGCAGCTCTTGGAGCCATGTTCCAGCCAGTCACTCGCATGTGTGCTTGGAGAGGCGCTTGGTGCTCCCTCCTTCGGGGCCAGCAGCTGCGGTCACGAGGGCGGCATCCACGCCGGCAAGCAGAACGGTACCAGAGCACGTCCCTTCCTGGGAAGTTCTTCATTCAGCATCATGTTCCAGGGTCTGTACCCTCAGTTTATATCCTTCATAATGGTCACATGAACAGCAACAAACCACAGATGGGGACGGAAGAGCAACATCTCCAGAGCTGTTGTCCAAGACCTGGGGATCTCCCACGCTGACTTCTGCCAGGCACAGGAGTTCAGCGCTACCCTTGGGGTTGTTACTTGCCTCCTCCTCGGCTTCCCACACCAGCTCCTTGGTTACAGAGCACCCCACGGCCACATTTCTGTTTTTCCCACCCTTTGAGACTGAAGGTAACTAAGACGATGACACGCAGCCAGGCCCCAAGTAGGAAGAATCAGAGCCAGAGAGCCCCCGAGAGCGTCAGAGCAGAGTCTGAGAGCCCCCGAGCATCACAGCAGAGTCTGAGAGCTCCCAAACCCCACAGCAGAGTCCAAGAGCCCCCGAGCCCAAGAGCATCTCAGCAGAGTCCGAGAGCCCCCCAGCCCGAGCGCATCACAGCAGAGTCTGAGTGAGCCTGAGAGCAAGCGTGACTGGGAGCGCCAAGCGACTAATGCATGAACAAACAAGCTACAGCATGAAATACCCCTGGGGTCAGTTCAGGTCAGCTGTCTGAACTGCGTCCCCCTCCACACTGCCTGTAGCAAGAAAGTTGGGAATGCAGCTGCAGCATCAGAAGCTGGGGAAGACCTTGGATTTGGGGCAGACACTCCCCAGCACCACCTGAAAACCACCAGTGTTATCAGCACTCTTCTCAGGGCAAATCCCAAACATCACCTCCCAGCAGCCACCACCAAGAAAACGAACCCTACGAGCAGCTCAACCCACCCAGCCCCGAGAGGAACCACGAAGAAAATCTCTGAGCAAGAACCACCATGTCTGGAGATGAGACATAAACTTGATCCTCATTGTGGTTTGTCTCCACAAACGAAAAAAACGCAACCCCTTTGCTTTAGGGAACTGTTATCATGGTAGACCGATAAATATGAGGAGCATCTTCTGTGTTAGTGGATCTATGGAAGTGTTTTACCTTTTACTTTGTGTAGCTCAAACCCAAATTCAATGCTGCACTAAGTTGGTGGGTGCTCTTGCACAGCCTCACGTGTGAAACCCTCTTCGCTCAAAAACAAAAACTTCAAACAAAAACTGTTACAAAATGGGTCAGCAAAACAGTTTTCCACTAAAAACCAATCCAAAAATGAGCAGAAAAAACCCCACTCAGCTGCATTTCAAGATCAGTTATCTCACTGTGGAGTACAGCATTCTCAAAGATGATTTCAGAGGGACTGAAAACACCACTACCTGGAGCCTTCCACTACCTGAAGGGGCTACAAGGGAGCTGGGGGGGACTTTTTACAAGGGCCTGTAGTGACAGGACAAGGGGTAATGGGTTTAAATTGAAAGCGGGGCGGTTTAGATTAGATATCAGGAAGAAGTTCTTCCCGGAGAGGGGGGTGAGGCACTGGAACAGGTTGCCCAGAGAAGCTGTGGATGTCCCATCCCTGGAAGTGGTCAAGGCCAGGCTGGATGAGGCTTTGAGCAACCTGGTCTAGTGGAAGGTGTCCCTGCCCATGGCAGGGGGGTTGGACCTAGATGGTCTTTAAGGTCCCTTCCAACCCAAACCGTTCTGGGGTTCTGTGACAGCAGTCTGCACCTCAGAGAAGACGGCAGCGGGCTGGCAACACGCCAGCATTTAAGGCTCAGCAGCGCACTGAAAGGAGCACTAGAAGTCAGTCTTCAGACATTTATTTCAGATACGCAGTTTACACGCATATTACGGAGCGAAACCGAGTTGCAAATATACAAATACTGTAACAAGCGTTACCAAATAACATAACTGGCACTAGTGTTCTAAGCGTATTACCGAAACCGGTGAGGCGAAGTCACGGAAGAGGACTGCAGCTGATGGCGGCGTCTTTTTATCCAACCAAACTTCCAGTAGCACCATAATGGCAACACATGAAACACGAGACAGAACATCGTTAACTCTTATTCTGATATTCACTTTTTTTTTCCTTTTAGATTTCAGCGAGTTACATAGCAAAAAACCCCAGGTGGGCAGTGCGGGCGCTTTGGCCAACTGCAGCTTGCGTTCAGCTGTGCATCTTCCGTAGGCAGCCAGGGAAAAAAAAAAAAAACAGAAATAAGCCAGCATATTTGGAACCCATCTTTGCGCTTGGGCAGTCATCGCGCCGCACTCTGGGACTGGAGATCCGCACGTCTTGCAAAGAGATGTCGCGTCCGCTGAAGCCTGAGTGAGTCTTTGGTAGGCTAATCCGTCGGTAGTATTATTATACATTTATCTACCACAGTCGTTTTCTTCATTAGGATTTTCATTTGTGATCCGAGGTGGCCAAAGAGGACGTTCTGGAAAACGTTACAGTACAATCCTCAAGCGACCAGGCACTTCAAACCCAGTCTTTTCCAAAGGCACCAGGAATTGACGGGGCACCGTTTCTCCCCCTCGTGCAAAGGCGACTGCATCCGCTTGTCCACGCTGCTTACAGATCGCTGGATGGTTGCGCTGCGCTTGTTTCCGTACACCAGACAGGAAGTAGCCTTACCTGCTGCGCGGTTGGCCGCGTCACTAAGTCACCGACCCCGCCGTCCTTCACGGGCGACGTCTCCGCTCGGCCAATATATTCAAGTACCAATTTCTTCCATTTCCAGACTACGTCGAACGCCATAACCTCGCCCAAAGCGTACACATGCTGCTGACGCAGGCCACATCCCTCTGAAGACACGGGGTTCACTCCGCAGGCGTTCTAAATACAGGGTGTCCGGTTCAAAGTCATCCTTGCCGACACTCACCCTGGAGATGGGTCTGTAAAGGTCTCCCCAAAAGCGCCGCCTTCCCTTACACAGAGTTCCCACGAGAACGGTTTGAAGTCGCTAACGCTCAGCTCACACCCATTTATCCCAACCCCCACGTTTTCCAAGTGAACAGTGCAGGACATTTTTAATTTCAGCATTTAACATCTTAAGAATTTACCTTTTTTTTTTTTTTTTAATCGAAATACACCAAGTATACGCTTTCAAGCAAAGTTGTGGCCAAACTACAGAACGTGGACGTATCCGTAGGGCCGTAATGCACTTGGTTAAAGCCTTCAGGTCTCTTCACGCAGGTGTAAGATCCGTAGGAAGTACTCTGCCTTATCGCACAAGCGTCTACAAAATGCAGTTGTATCAAAACCTTGCTTCTGCTGGTCACCTGACACTTTACGAAGTCGCGTGGAATTCAACCAGCTTTCAGACAGGGTCCTTTAGTGGTAAATAGAGATTTTTGCAGCACATGGAGGCTTAGATTTCAGTCTGAACAGCAGTGCTTAATTCCGCAGCGTGTCGTGCCTGGTTGTTGTTTGTTTCTTTCAGTGTCTCACCAGCACCTAGATCTACGTCCGGTGAAGATCCGTTATGAACGCTTTCCTCAGCGATGTAACTCAGCTGCGGAGCATCGGTGCTCGGGGCTGCTGGAACCGGTGCAGCGATTCCGCTGGGCTGTGGAGAGTTTTCCAGGCGATCGTTTTCCACCTCGGGGAGAACGCTGACCGTGGTAAAGCGAGTGTGATAGTCGCTGGAACCATGGCTGCAGGAAGTTTTCATACTTTCCATATCTGAGCAACTGAACTCAGAAAAATGACTCGAGTGGGAATCGGCTACAGACGGAATACTGTCGCTGAGAGAGGGAGAGTCAAACTCACTGGAGTTTGTGCTTTGTTGTTCCAACAGCTGAGCATCCATGTCCTCCCTGGTCTCATTTATCTTCATGCTACTCTTCTTTCTCAGCTTACCTTTGCATTTTTTTCCTGCTGTTGTTTCTTTGGACCACTTGGTGGCACTGGATTTACTTTCCGGCAGGCAGGCCGATGAACAGCCGGCATTGCTACGACCCGCGGCACTGCCATCATCAACGCTGCTGCTGCCGCTGTTGTGCCTGAATTTGGCTGGCTTCGATTCAATATCCACTTGCACTTCCATACTGTTGCCTTCCCTGGGACGAGAAAGAACCCGTGAGTGAAAACGGTCATCTAACAAGCCAGCTAACACAGCAAAACAAACCCTTATGCTTTCTGAGATAGGTGGCAAGGGAAAGTTAGAGATGCTCCTTGTTTAAGAGGAGTTAGTGTTTAACTAAATAAATAGCCCAAAGGAAAACAACTTCCCAGTAAAGATCACTTCACTGAGCTACAGCAGCGGCGTTCCTCTCTGCCTGCCTGTATTGGCCAAGGTTATTTCCACCTGTAATTGGGTTTGTAACAGAATTTGCAGTTTCAAAGGGTAGTCATTAAAGCAGAACAGCTGAGGCATGCTTAGAATATCCTTTATTAACCAGAGGCCGTTCATCTTCCTTTTCCACCACACTTCTCTTACCTGTCCAAAGGGATGTAGGAGTTCAGAATGGATCCTGCCATTGCTTTGGTACTGGCATTATCACTAACTGTTCCCAAGCTAACTGTGCCAGATTCTCCACTCAGGCTGTATCGTTCTTTCTGCACATCTGCTTGGACTTCCAGTCTTGGAGAGAGGAGGGGAAAAAAAAAAAAAAGAGAGACAGTTGCAGGTACTGTTGCTCAAGTTAAAGCACACCATCTGACAGTCAGTGTCACCTCGTAGGTTTCTCCACCACTCCGTAGTAAGCAGTGTGTTCATTATTCCAATACAGAGGCAAACATTTACCCTACTGGAATAGGTTCTCTCTTCCCACTGTCAAAAAGACTGTTTTCTGGTTTAAAGAACCCCTAACAAAACCAGAAACACCCAAAAGCAAAACGAGACTAACTTCTCAACAGAGCTAAATGTTGCATGCTCAGAGGTTCTGGATTCTTTCCTCCCTGAGATTTACAAGAACATCTTCCAGGCTTAGCTAAAATTCTCTTACAGGCAGTGTGCTGTACTCTAAAAATGGAAAAAAACCCCATCAGAAGGGTACACGAGTTCCAGACAGTATAGTTCCCCTGTTTCTCCAGCTGCAAAATTATTACTAATCAAGTAACAGGCAGAGGACTGTGTTCTGCACTCGGCTTCATACTGTATTGCTATCAGCCGCACCAGGAATAACAGAGACCGGAGCGACCTTAAGTTAGATGGAGTAGCTAAAGCTTAGACCTTGGTTTCTGGTTTATTCCAAACGCCCTGTTTATCTGTTCTGGCAGTGAACTGGAAGCGGTTTTTCATTTTGTTTCCCACTCTCAGCTCTCTGAAGAGGAGAACAGGCCTACCTCACTCAGCAGCCACAGCATGAAGTACACAAGGAAACTCTTGACGCCACCCTGCCCTCCTTATTCTACACCGCCTGGACTTCCCAATTACTGAAGAAAATGAGCAGCCTTAGCACCCGATTTAAACAGCAAAGTCCATCCTGAGCCCTAACAGTCCTTTCCAGACACTCCCTTCTCCCCAGGGCGCAGGACAGCCAGCAAACAGTGAGACCCCGGCGCGCGGGGGCACCGAGCACGGCAGTGACGAGACGCTGCCACCTCGGCAAGGCCGTTCCGACCCCACACTCCAGCCACGTGTTCTCAAGGCCCAGCTTGGGACTTGCAGACTACGGAACAAGTCAGGGGAGATGCACCAGAGAACGCGGCTCTGATGGACAGGAGGCGCCTCCCTCTGACTCTGGGTAGAGGCTGCGCTGTCAGGAAGCGGGAGAACAAGGGCTCAGGCCCCATTCACCCTGGAAAAAATGGACCCTTCTTTGAGGATTGTGGCCTGGCAGGATGTCTTGGACATGCAGGGCTACTGCAGGGGCAGAAGCAGGTGTCTTACCTGTTAAAGCAGTTAACCATTGCACTTCCCGAGAGGCTCCCTGTTATACTGGCCCCAGCCAGGGCCATGGTACTAGCGGTTTCGCTTAGGTTGTCCCGAATGGCTCCTATTCTGTCCATGTGGCTACCGCTTGCACTCAAGCTGCCGGTCAGTCCCCCAACGCTTCCTTCGCCGATGCTAGGGTTGTGGCGTGCCTCTGCCACTGAGGTGGCATCTAGACAGAGAGAAAGGCAGCTTGTCAGTGACGGAAGCAGAACTCAGTAGCTTCTAGGACGTGGCCACGGAAACCAGTCCTGAAATTATGCTGAGAAAAAGGATTTGTAAAACATACTGTGACTAGAAGGTGACTTTGTAAAAGAGAGACCTTTCTTGAAGCTGCTGTAACGGTTATGCCTGACATCACATACTTAAGATGTCAACAAGTTAACTATTGAGAGGACAGGTAACACGGAGTCAAGGAAAAACAGAGAGACCCTATCACAAAGGATACTGCCACATAACTGAAATGAAAGTAGCACCAGATCAGCACTTAGTTCCCCCTACTGCAGATTAAAGGATGAAAGCTTCCACAAACCCGTATTCTGAAAAAGCAGCACTAATTTTATCTTAAAACTTCTACCCGTTGAGAAGACTTTACTGGAGCCTGGCTTTCATTCAAAAGGGCAAAATCTGAATTGAAAAATCAAACCCACTAAATTTCAAAGTTAGTGCTTGTATGACAGCACAGCACACACAGAGAGCAGCTATCCTCACCCGAGAGCCGGTCCTTCGGCAATGACTGGAGTTAGTCCTAACTGTACAGCACCCCCTCTGCAAGCTCCAGGACCTAAGGCCATCGCATACAAGTCACAAAGCCCATATTTACAGACAACGAAACACATCCTTTCCTTACCCACAGCTGCGTTTGTTCCACCAACATTCATATCGTTTTCGTCGTCAAATTCTATCCTGACACCTTTTCCATTGCCTGCTGACACACCGCAGCCTCCGCTTCGGCAGAGGGAAATTGGAACAACTCCATACACATAAGCCAGCATAATAGGAACACCGATACCTACGGGGGAAAGTACAGTCTTTCATTACATGACTTACACTTCAGAGCCTTTCGTAAAAGGCAATTTCATTTTCCATGATTACTTAATATTTCACACTCAAAAGAAATCAGGAGGAGGCAAAATTAAGAAATATTAGTAAATCACTACAGTGAAGTGACAGGAAAGTACTCGGAGCAGGCAGAATGTCCTCTGTCAGCACTGGTAGGCAGAGAAGCTTAACGCTTGATGAGTTAATACTTCCAGCACGTCCATAACATCCTTTCAAAAACAAAATGAAAATACTTTAAAGGTTCACAAAAGCTCCACTGGGGACTGTAAAAATGTTCCACCTGAGAGCAGAAACTATTTCAAATGTTATTCAACTAAAAATGTTACCACCCCTACTAATTTAATAACAAGCTTGATTTTGCAATCACTGAAGTCACAGGGCTTTGCTATCAATTTAATAGGGCTTAACATTGTTATTCACAGAGTCACAGAGTGGAA